TTTCTTTTTTTTTAAAAATTTTGCCCCAAAATTATTGTTTAAAAAGAAGAAAAATTTTTTTGAAAAAAAAAAAAAAAAAAAAAAAAAAAAAAAAAAAAATCAAGCTCCTCCACCTCCTCACAGAAATGCACCACTCTAGGTCAAAAACAACCAATCAGAGCAAGGAGGAAGGTCTTGTGTTTATGGGCTGCTTAATGTACTAGAACAACTCACCGTTGCAGGAAAACAGTTTATCTGTCATCACCAGCAGCCATGCCAACTAGCTTGAGAATACCTGCAAGCTCTATTGTGGTGAAGTAGCTGTAGCTTAGCAGACAGCAAGGGGGATGGTGTGATTGGTTATTTCTGACTGACCTGTCCATTTATGTAGTTAGCACTGGGGACATTGGGAGAAGTCAGAAGAGCTCAATTTTTTCATAGATTATATGTTTTGTACTACACTGTCACGACATGGTGACACTTTTAACAATGGAAAGAACATATTACACTCAAGTTACATATTGCAGATTCAGCGGTGAAACAAGTGGGAGATAAATCACTGAGAAATTTCAGTGGATGTACACATTGAATTGCAGCAAATGGTATGTAAACAGAAAACATAACCTAAAAAATAGAGTAGCTGGACACATTGGTGGCTCTATTCTGCTGGTGATGGATGGCCCCACCAGCCCTTGTACTCAAACCGATCTCAAAACTTTAACTCAGTGGTTCTTAACCCCTAGGGTTCGATCGAACCCCAGGGGTTCGATGAGTCGGTCTCAGGGGTTCGGCGGAGCCTCTGCCGCGGAGGTAAAGACACACTGTGTAAAGTCGTGATGACACACCCCGTTTTACCATCACTTGCTCCAGAGGATCACGTTACATTGCTGAGCCAATCAGTGCTGCGGGAAGGAGTTCCACTCTCAGCATGGATTTGAACTTGTATCTTTAATAACTTCAGTAAAGCTCACCGTTTTTACCAAATTCTATAGTCTAAATCTGCTCCTTAGTCACATCTTTTCGGGGTTGGTACTGCCTCTAGTGGCGTGGGGGAGGTAATACAACTAATATAATTACATTAATAACGCAAATTATTTTCTGTGTCGGGGGAGTGGGGTGGTAAGGGGAGGTGTTCAGTGAATGCGCATATGAAACTGGGGGGTTCGGTACCTCAAAAAAGGTTAAGAACCACTGCTTTAACTTAACAGTTAAAAGAAAGAGAATGCCATCTTACCACCAGGACATGTTCTAGCAGTCCCAAATATCCTGAAGCACATTCGTTACCATAGCGTAAAGCACGCATCTGGACGTCCTTGCTGACCTCTGGGTGGTAGGCAGCTTCCTGAAAAACAAAAGAGGAACATGCATTTCATTTCCATTATTGAGAACCACACCAGGGCACAATTGCTCTTCACAATGTTGGCCAAAAAGCACCACAAAGCATTTATGCTTATGGCACCCAAAGAGCTAGCAACAACCCTGGCTACACCTCCTCAATAGCTAACAGATCCCTCCAACACATGGTAGACATAGGTGTCAAGACAGGGTGCAAAGGTCAGAGTGTGAAAACAAACATGACAAAGAAAGAAGATGTACGTGACATTAAATGCAGCATGGCTGTTGATGCCAGATAGACAGGTCTGAGCATTTCAAAAACTGCTGATCTGATGGGTTTTGTAATCCTTTTGTGTTTACAAATAATGTTCCAAAAAAAAAAAAAAAAAAAAAAAAAAAAAAATCCAATGGATTACATTGGACTTTTTACAACCAAGATATATAAAATATATTCCAATCTTGAAGGAGGAAACTGGAAATTGTGGAATGGAAAATCTGCATTATGGATGTGCAGCTGCAGCAATTGTGTGATGTCATAATGTACATATTGACCAACATTTGGGAGACGTTTTTTTATTCCATGTTAAATTCAAGTCCTGAAGAATGAGGGTAGTTTTGAAGGCAACATGGAGCCCAACATATGCAAATAAATATCTGTTGTACCTTGCAGGAGTGCAGCATGTCAGCAATAGCTCGTCTGCTGAGGTTAGCAGTGGCGATGATGTCCTCCTGGCGACATGAGTTCCCCGCAGCCACTGCCTTCGCTGTTGCCACAGTGATTCCTTTTGTCATACGAATAAACTCCTCTGGCGTGGTCGTTTTTGGTGGGGGATCAGAACTACAGAACACCTGTGTGCCAACAACATAATTAGATAGTGACTATATAACTCATCAACAATTATTTGTGCATGTATTTTACTCAAACAGAAATTTTTAATCCATCCCAGCTGAAAGCAAGGTTATGTATGGCCACCAATCATGCAGAACCAAATATGTGGAGATTTACAGTCAGCTCCTGCTTGATGTGTTCAATAGTGGCCTCTAAGGCTCTGGTTCCCTTGGTGGCTTCATCCTCCACTGCCTTGACAGTCTTCAGCAGAGATGTCACATTGGTCACCATCACCTGCAGAAGGAAAGTCCAGTTTAATTGACACAAATCAGGCTGATCTCAACGTTCTTCAATGTAAAACAATACAGCGGGGCTGTCGCAGTGCATTTTATCACCTTCAACAGAGACTGGATGCAGCTGCTGAAGTACGTTAAAACAGAACACATTACTCTTGACTTATGAATATTAGGCTCCCAGCAGTTCTTATGCTTTTGGTAAATTTTCTAACACATTTCAGTGTGTTGTTCTGCAGGCAACTAATTAACCACAGCAAAAGCATCTGCATTCATAGTTCAATTAGCATTTATAAAAACAGTTCAGATACACATTAAAGTATTTCTAGACATAATAAGTTTGTATCTTACCAGCCTCAGGCTGGAAATTAAATCCTGATCTGCTGTTTGAGACTGAATTTAAAAGATGTTTAAATAACATCAGAAGTGTTTTTGTATAAACTGTTTATGAAATTTACCTTAAAGTCTGTAGAGTGATGCACTATAGTGAATTACAGTTATGCAATACCAATAGATATTTGTCTGCTTGAATGCAATATGTGGTCTGGTGGTATATTCCAAGTGTTCTGCATATTTCTTCTGAATGGCCTGTGCAGTAACACTGCCGTTTCTAGGCTTACTGTATACCTTTATGTTTATTCTGTGGTTGTTCTTCAGTCCGATGCAACATTCAATACAAAGTTACACTAGTGCAAAGCTACATAATTATAATGTTGGCTCAATATAGATGTGGCATTTAACAAGAAAGACATAGTGTGGATCACAGTTCTACTGCAGAAAACAGATTGATAGTCAAATGTAGTGGTGGCCTTTGAATATTACCTTAGCAGAACTCTTAAGCTGGAGCATGCTGGGGTCATCATGAGGTTTACCTGCAGCTGCCTTAGTGGCACTAATTAGGTTACCCAGAGCTTTGGCTACATCCTTCACTGCATTGATCAAGACCACCTGAAGAGAACAAAGTACATTAGAGAGCGGCATATAATCAGCCTTTGTCTCCACACACCCAGTTTCTCAGAAAGTTATTTTCTGAAGATGAACATCTTATCTGCATGATTTATACATATTTTGTCCCATTCTTTTTATTGTTTCTTTGTTTTAATGAAGCATTGACCAGCTTTACAGAACATGGATTAAGTGCCTGAGAATTATACATGGTCTTGTCCCAACACACGTTATGGTTTCAAATGTCTTTAAAAAATGTGATTTGACTGAACACATCTTTCAGATGTGATGCAACTTTCTAAATATCACTACACAATATCTATAAGGGCTCCCTTTATTTATTTATTTTTTGTCACTGATGTTAATCACCTCTTAGGACAGTTACTAATGAAAGTCAGTAAAAATAACTTTGCATCCAGATGATTGCGCAACAAACTCCTACAAACGTCGTCACCATCAGTATAAACAAATATACAAATGCATAAAACAATTAAAACATATACATAAAACAAATGAACAACTGGGTTCCAACCATGAGCAAAATACTCAATGACAAAATTACTTAGCATTAAAGTTTATATATGGAATTTGACAACTAATCTGAAATGTTGTATATATTCTATTTTTTATTTCCTTGTTTATCAATTTTAGCTGCAAATTTAGGTTATTCAGACATAACCTAAATTTAATATCTGACAGGGGGACAAACAATGGAAACCTGCCTTGGCTGTAGTTGGGTGGATTTATATTTGTGTTGTTCAAAAAGGATCATTAATACAAAATGCTCCTCTTCTGAAAAGAAACTAAATGAAATTTAAATCCATCTGTTCCTAACAGCAGATTTTTCCAAAGAGAGTACTTTAGAAAACAAGCTTTCCAAAATATATTTGAAATGCTCTGCAAAGCCTACTTGAGTCTCGGGGTCTTCAGAACCCAGGCTGGCTGCTCCCAGTTTGACCACATCAGCCAGTTTGGTTATGGTGGAAACTGAAGACTGGGCAGCCTGAGCCAGTTTCTCCTGACTGGCTCCCGCACCAGACACCAGCAGCTTCGTGTCCTCTACTAAGGCCTTTGCTGTCTTCAGAATGCATTCTCTGAAAAACAACCAAAGTTATGAATTAAATCACCATGGCAACATAACTACCTCCAATTTTAGACAGATTTCTCTTGTTGAACAAGATGAAGCAATGCTATGATTATTATACTCATTCAAGGGGCAGTAATGTGTGTTATCCAGGCACATAGTGCCATTTCAAAGAAGAAATCAAGTAACTACTCTACCTTCAGTAACTACTCTACCTTCAGTTGTTAAAAAAATGCTATGAATATATAATATAAGACATGACTTAAAAGAAATTGTAAGTAATTTAACACCTTGAGATTGGGAGAGTTGCAAGAGAGGGCTACTCTGTGAGGTGGAAGCATAAGGGAGGAGCTGGTTAAAAGGGCAAGTGCAAAAACATCAATAATCTGGACCTGGTTCGGATTAAACTATGACCTTCAACGTTAACGTATGTAATTAAACTAAAAAGTTTAATGCCTTAATATTACATACTGCAGATGACTTATTTGGACCCAGAAACCTCTCTCCCTTTGATGGTTACCTAGTTGCATTGCTGACAGCATAGGCTCTTTCTTATGTTTTTGTCTGAGCGCACAAGACAGCGCTGCTGTCAGAGTCACAAATGCAGATGAAAAGATGAGCGAGGAGAGTCAGACAGACTGGTGTGCTCAGTGGCACATTTTGCTGTACAATACACCACGATGAATGTTTGGATAAAACCAAGGCAGTATGCAACTTACTTACTACAGTGACGAATTATCTCTCCATCGAAGCACAACCAGTTTCTTAATTATGTTTGAAACAAAATAACTTCTTTTAGACTGTCATGAATATAAAAACCTGGAAAACTAAAATGTTCAGTTTGAGACAACAAAGGATTTTCTTGAACATTTTTAGGACAATATGCATTTTTATGTTTCATACATACAAAATTAAGTGTGGTGATCAATAGTGATTAATCACAGTGCTTGTGTGATTATCAAGATATGAATTTTATGGGATATTGCACATCCCTACACTCCAGGCATATATTTGATGAGAGAATAACTTCATGATATAATGCAAACCTCAAAAAAGTTGATTGTAATACTGCCCCTTTAAAGAATAACAAACAAAAAGCACACTTTGTGTTAATAAGCAAAAACTGTCCAGAATTTTTTTTTTTTTAAATATTGAATAAATTTACATGTGCATCCAATATGACTTTACAGAGCTATGCCAGTGGGTGGAGCACATATTATGAAAAAACTTAATAAATGTGCTAATACAATCCATTTGTAATAATTTACTCCCATAATTGTCATTAAAGTACTAAATGAGTTCTTGTGAGTTAGATATAAAAACTGAAGTTTATGCTATAATTGTGTAAACATTATGCTGAGCAGAACCTGCTGAGGTTTGGGATCAAGCAGAACAGTTAATGGTCTGTTCTTCTACAGCAATTTATCTAGTCAAGAGGAAATTTTGCATGAATGGCAGGGAGAAATGTAGACAGTTTTAGGTTCATTGTTCCGTTTCCCCAAATATTTGTATTGACCATTAGTTTTTAGCATAACAGAAAAAATACAAATTATATATTTTAATTTTCAAAACGGGTGTTGGGTAGTTAATTGAATTCCTTAAATAGAATGAAGATTTTGTCAAACTATCGAATTATGTTCCTACAAAGTGGTTCCAGTTACAGACAAACAATTATTACTGACTACTTTTACTAACAAAGGGTAAAAACAGAACAGAAAAGTAATCATGCACTGAACATCAGCTTATCTGGCATTTAAAGTGCAGTGTCTAATACAGCTGCAGGTCTTGACGTACACATATATTTATAGCCTGTTTAGGTGAGGTTGGAATCTGATGTTTAACAACGTTTTTATCCATGCAGGAAGCAGCAATGTTTTTCAGGCCCAGCAGCAAGATAAACCTTCCATTTTCAGCTTTCACTGGTACTGTGGCCATATCTGCAACCAATTTAAGGAAAAACCATGGCCGTTCTAGGCGAGTTATTGGTATAGTTTTTATCATATTCAATTTATTCTTAAGAGAATTAAAACTTTTAAATAATATATGATAAGCATCATCAGAGCTACTGGCAAAATGATTCATGACATACACCAAGTAAGAGGGTCCTAAATGAGAACCTGGTACCTGTGGTCAGCGAACGTTTCAGCATTCTCTCTATTAAGGGTACCAGCAGTGGCAAACATAATGGTTGTGTCGAGATCTGCAATGATTCCAGAAACAGCACTTGCAGCTGTAATACAGGCTTGGGTGCCACGGTTACCAGCTTGAAGGGATGCCAACACATGAGAGACCTAGCACAAAAAATACAAAGGGACATATTTGAGAGTTCGTGTCAGAGCACTTTTCCACTAGCCCGCCTCTAACCAGTTCGGTCCCAGTCGGTCCAAACCAGAGTCATTTTCCATTAGCAAATCCGGTGCTGCTCTGCCCAGCTGTTCTCATGTATTGATGTAGTACTAGCCACACCGAGCTGAGTACAGCACCAAACCAATTTGAGTTGGTTTGGTCTGATGACCTCACATCAAACTCCAAAACAACATTATAGTTTAGCTGTGAGACGGCAGACATGTTGTTTGCTATCAGAGAGCTGCTCAGTCTGGAGGAACATTTATGAATTTAATCACAGCCAGAGCCAGGAACACATGCAGAAAGTTTTGGAATGACTGTGATTTAACAGCGCCATAGCAGCTTGTCTCTCTGAAGAACAGGCAGCAATAAAAAAAGAGAGAAACGTTGCTGTGGTCAGTTCTGTCAGAGCTGTAATTTTGCACTGGTAATCAAAAAAAAAAAAAAAAAAATCAAATCAACTTTATTTCTATAGCACATTTCAAAAAACCGCTAGGGCAGCCAAAGTGATTTACATTAAAACGGAAATACGTAAGAAACATGAAAATAAAAATGCTTAAATTACAACTACAAATCACAAACAAAAAAAGACATCAATATGTTAATAAATCTCTGACCTTCTCTGAGACTTTGCGGGCACTTTCAATTAGTTCTTTCTTAGTAAATGTGTCATTGGGGCTGCACTGCAGAGCTCCAGCTTTGGTAACCAGACCTGTGCAGGTGAAGCCCAGCTCTCCCACTTGCTTCTTAATGTGAGAACCAATCTGGAAAAATAAAACAGTAGAAGAAAGAAATAAAATACATGAAACATATAAAAATGAACAACATGCTAGTAAGCAGAAGTATTTATTCACTTCATCATTCTCTGCAGTGAGTGCTGCATATTTGGCCTCATTTGCTAGATTTCCAAAATTATTGGTCAACTGGTTGGCCAGTCCTCCAAGGTCATCTGGGTTGGTGTTGGACTTGGTCACCTGAAGAGAAATGAGAAAATATTACAGTTTGTGAATTCAGTCGCAATGAGGTGTTCAGAAAACTGAACAGCTGTCTGAGGAAAGCTCTATGCGACAGTTTCATGAAGGCACTGAACCATTAACAGAAAAACCTAATTAGATTTCTGAGAAATACTAAAACTTTGTCAGATAACAGATTTCTTACCATCTCCTGTACAGTAACAGCAATGGCCTTGGCCGTCTTCACCATGGTGGTCTGGTAATCTACAAAGGTGCCATCTGGTTCATCTGCAGGCCCGTCTTCCATTTTATTGATGGCATCGTTGATGGAATCCACCATGCCACCCACAGCACCTGCTGCACTGGCTGCCTCAGCCAGCGTGGCCCCCAGGTCATCTACTGCTTCTTTCATCATCTGCACCGAATCCTCCAGAGCATTCTGCATATGTGCTGCCTGCAACAAAGAAAAATAGACAAGTGGGTAAGGCTGACAGCTCAGGATCACAGAGATATGGAATATTTGTTTTCAAAAGAAGATTTTTTTTCCCCCCCAGGCTTTCAACTAAAGTTATCCTGATTGGGATCAAGTGTGGATCAGTGCATTTCTTAAAATACACCCAATATATCAAATGATCTACTAAAAAGATAGGTAACTCCTAATAAGGGTTTTTCTTTATCAAAGAAAAACTGAAAACTGATTGGATATAGTCAATTAATTGAATAGTAATTATTTTATTATGCTACAACAAACAACAACAAACAAAGGGAGATGTTGCATTTCAGATTTTGGAATATTTAAAAATTTAACAAGATTTGTTCAAAAAGATGGAAAAAAGAACTAATTTGTTTTTGCCAGTACATTTTGTCAGGCCTTCTTAGAAGGAAACTCCTCTAAAATTATAAGCTGTCACAATCATTTTTTTACATGATTCTGAATTGCATGGTGTCTGTAAGGATACAACATTTAAACACAACACATCACGTTTTGTGAACAAGGACATGAGAAGTACAGTTAAAGATCCAGAGTACTTAGTTCATTCAGTACCTTGGGATTTCCTCCAGCCTCCTTGGCGGTATAGAGCATCTGCAGCGCTGACTCTGCCAAGGTCTTGGTCTGATCTAAGACAGCCATCTGCTGCTGGCTGCTTAGGATCTTGGATGCTGTGCCAATGGCAGCCATGATCAAGGGTTCAAAGTAGCTGGCCATCTGAGAAACCTGGGAGAAACAGTTCCAGGAAGAAGAGGCACATGATCAGCCTTCCAATGCACCACCATTTGATGAGCACCATGTACTGATCTGAATTGAGAAGCCAATTTCTGATTTTTAGAAAGAATATTCTAAAACAATATAGGGGCAGTATTTAAAACATTGCTTTTTGCCAAGTATTTATTAGGGGTGCACCAATCTATCGGCCAGCAAATTTATTGGTGCCGATTTCCTTAATGTTGGGAGATCTTTGATCGACTGATCATGTGAAGCCGATCTTATCCACCGATCTCTTCCATCTCAGCAAAGACTAAAAATTAGTCACTGTCCACTTCTGCTCTGCAGTGAGAGGTTTGACTGACAGACCAGACCAGTTTACTGCCTGTACATTTGCAGTAAACAATACTGACCCCACTGTTGACAACTCAGCAACTTTGTTGCTATATTTAACATTTCAGACAAAAAAATTGCCAAAATCTGAATCAGCAGATCAGACTTTTTAAATCGGGCACTGGCCAGAAAACGGCAGTAAACGCAGCGCTAGTATTTACATTAGGAGACATCAAGTCATTTTGTAAGAGAAGTCACAGATGGCTATCTAAATCTCCATGTTGAACAGTGTGTGTGAGGGCAGATGTGTTTGTAGTTGTGCTTACCTTGTGTCCCAGCTGGGAGGCCTCCGATCGAGCCGCCACTGCCACAGGATCAATCAGGTTACTGATCTCATGAACTGAAGCAGCCATCTGTTCATGAAGAGTCTATAGTACAAGGCAGCAGAACATTAGGAAAGTCATTCACTTCTAGATGCAGAAGCTGATCAAAAACTGTCCGGTAAGGTCATTTCATTGTAATCTTTATAATGAAAAGCAATTTGTCAAAAAAATAAATAAAAATGGTGCTGATATATATTATAGCTCAACATTTTATAGGTTTTGAAAACTCATAGTTTTTGGATTACTACCCAAAGTTCCTATAAGGTGGTAAAAATGAGCACCTAGTAATCTTAACAAGCCTCCCCTTACATCGCTTGAAAAATTAATGATTCGGAATAAATCATTAAAGGGCAATATTTCAGACTTTTATAATGTGTTGATCTCTAACTCATTAGAGAACTCAAATAATCAGCTTATAAACTGGAATATGGACCTATCATCAAATATCAGTAAACAGGATTGGGAAAGGGCTTGCAATAAAACCCACACAATGACTATAAATAGCCGTCTTACAATTCTACAATTTAAATGGCCAGTGCGTATTTATGTTACGCCTGTGCATTTAAATAAATACAATAATAACATCCCAGATCTTTGCGTAAAGTGTAATTCTAAAGGGACTCTCATACATGTTGGAATGCAGACAAATCAATGCGTTTTGGACAGAGGCGAAAGACATAACTGAAAAAATTCTCTCAAAGCAAATGTCACTGGATCCTAAATTGTTCCTTTTAGAAATCAGTATACTTTTATAGATATAAGCTCATTATCTGCAAAAAAATTTATTGCTTTGGCTTGGAAAAATGTCAACAGACCTAGTGCCACTCAGTGGTTAAAGCAGATGTATTCTAATTTGCTACTAGAAAAAATAACATATTAGGAAATCCAAACAGTATCTTTTTGAGTGGATTTGGGGTCCTTTCATTAATTTTAATAAGGACTTAAACTTGTCAGAGGGTTTATTTGAGTTTTGATTTGCTGGAACCTGCAGTGTGCCATGCTGAATAGACGCGTACAATTATATCTAACCTGGTTGTAATTTGCTTGAATACCCCTGTTTTTGAGAAGCTGTTTTTGTTCCTATCCTATGCCTGTCATTTTTTCTTCTTTCTTTCTTTCTTTCTTTGTTTTTCATTTCTCTGATATGAGAAAGAATAATTACTGTCATGTAATAACTACAAAGAAAATGTGTTCAGATAGTTACATGATTGTTTTTCCAAAGTGGAAAATCTCAATAAAAATATTTTGGTAAAAAACAAAATGAGCCCCACTCATTTTCTATTAAATTTAATGGAAACATCTGCTTCCCTTCAACTGTGACTGTCAGTTGAAGGGAAGCAGATGGATATATTCTGAATACCACTTACAATATATTAATTGTTACACCTCAAGAAGACTTTTAAACTTTCTCCTCTCTCTCCCTTTCCAGGACAAAGCCACTGCAGAGGTTACTGCTGTGATTAACTGCTACCATGGCATGACCCCTGTGCACCATTTTCCATTTCCACAGATAGTGATCTGTGGGAAGTAGTGTGCTGACTTCCAGTATTATTGTGTTTCTGGTTCGTTCTCCCAATCCCCAGCAGTATATGAAGTATGTTAAATTGACAGCATTTTGAAAATGTTTAATAAGTAAAAAGACATATATAATAATAATAGTGGTAAACATGCTGTAAAACACAATAAATCTAACAAAGCACAATTACTAGTGCAAATAAAGTGAATAACTTAAGAAAATAATTTTCTTCCCAACAGTAAAAGTGCACAAAAAAGAGAGGAACTATCAAAGCAAAAGCTTCCCTCTTTTTGGATTATGTCAATGTGTTCCCATCTGTATTGAATAATCTTTACAATAGTGCTTCACAGAACACACTCAAACCAGTGTCTAAAATAAATCATTAATAAAATCTAAGATAAATATGAAAAATACAAATTTGAAAGGCAAGGTTTGTAACAAGAAAATATGACAGCACTCAGTTAACAAAATAACAACTTTGTTTAATCAGAAATAACTTTTTCTTGTCAACTTTTAAAGCTCATTATGAACCACAGAGGAGGAAAAGTAGCATTTAGAGCCGTCTTTACCTCCATAGAGATGTCGTCTCGGGGTGTTAATTGTTGGCTTATTGCAGCCAGAGAGGCCTGGTCAACCTCACGGATGCAACCGTTCAACACCTCTATAGCGTCATCACATTCTCTCTGGCCTGGAGCCTTTTCTCTGCACACATAGGGCGGGAGGAAAGGAGTGATGAGAGCATAATGAGCAGCTACTCTGATATACTTCTAGTTAACCTAATTGCTAAGGAGTGATAGCTTTAGTTCAGAAATGTAATTTGTAAACATATACAAACCAAAACTGGTAACAATAGTTACCAAATCTAGGATTAAAGTCTTGATATAGAGAGACATATTGTTTAATATGATGTCATAAATCTACAATAATAAACTGAAGCAATGTTGTAAAGAAGAGTTGGACCAAATTTCTCACCAACACAGAGAGACTGATGGGCAGAAGACACATGCTTTAAATGTTTGCTGATAAAAGTCGTTTCAGCAGGCTGCTAAATCTGTGTTGATGTACTATTTACTGAATAATAGTGACAGACAGTATTGCTGTGTTCTTCTTTTAGAGTTGTGTTTACCACATGTGAAATACAACTCAATGTCTATGTCAACTATTTAGTTATGGTAATTAATGTTATGGTAACATTAATAATAAAGTGAATAAATAAAAATAAAATAAATAAATAAATGCACTGTGTAAATGAACCTAAGCCTCTATAAATAAATATTGTAATCCAACAATATGCTTCTTTAAGATGCTTCATCATTCAATATTGCAGCATATATTACATTGTTCATGTAATATTATTCTGCGTTATAGTTTAAAAATTGATGCTGAAAATCTGTTTCATCAAAAGGAGATGGGAAGCAACAGCAGTCAGACTGAAGCATACCTCATGTTCGTGATGAGCTTCTTAATGGAGTCAGACACGGTCCTTGAGTGTCCCGCCAGCACCGACCACTTAGGGGGGTCTTTGGGGTTGACCGCCAGGGACCGGGCGGTCTGGATCAGGCCCGTCGAGCTCTCCAGCATCATCTGTGCTGCTGTTAAAATTGGCTCCATGGCTGCGTGCCCCTGAAGAGTTTGGATTAAACTAATTTTTAAATGACTCCAGAACATTTGGCACAGCTTCTGTTTTACTGTGATATATGTGTTATCAATGGCTAAAAGCTGCAAGTTTACTCCTCTGCTATTCCAGCCTCCTGTCTCTTCCTGTAACGGAGGATATTTGCCTCTCTGGAATTATTAAGACTTATATCCCCTTTTATAAATTTGCTTTTTTTCTGCTTAGTTTTATTAAACATGACTTTAGTGTTTAGTCAGCAGAGACAGCATCTGCAAATGTTGTTCATCTGTTTTCCTGGAGTTTTTAAATGTATTCCTCATTACTGTCAAGTTGTTAGCATCCAAAAAGTTATTGCAATGTCAATGTAAGAGTCACTGTTTTGTTTTTGAAAGGTGAAAATAAGGATCACACAGCTGAACAGGTTGCTCAAAAATGTTCAGTACCCAATACAGTTTGCCCTCCTTTCAGCATCAGCCTTCCAACTCTGGTTCAAGCAGCATGTTGAGCAATCATAATAAACATTCTTGTTTAAGCATTCATGCTTAAACAAGAATGACAGTTTTAATGCTTCAAATGGAACAAAAGAATTTGCTGGTGCATCATCAGTTTCTATTTTAGTGATGTATTCTTACATGTTTGAAGGATAAATGAGATGTTTCACTTGTATCATCACGAGAAAAGAAAATTATCCACTTTTAGGTTTCTCAAGAAAACATTTTAATAACAGTGAAAAAACAATAGGCACAGGTTTGTTGGTTATTAAATTAGAGCAGAGGATACTGTCAACTAGTGGACAAGTGAAATAGCTCATAATCCAAATCAAATGTAATCACAATAACACTGTGTGTTGCCTTATTAAGAAAGAAGTATACAGTTGAAAGGTTAGGAGAGGACTAACCTCAGGACTGATATGAGCAGGAATGCTGGCGAACTCTGGGTTTGAGGCGAAGGCAGTCAGGTTGTCTACAGCTTCTATCAAAGGGCCAGTAGCAGCCTTGCACTTCTCTCTGTTCTCCTGATTAAAGGCTCCATCTAAAGCCTGCAAAAGAGACATCAATCAAAAGTTTCCAAAAGACTACAATTCTAGAGCCTAGTTGGACATCTGAGCTGCATTTTGCTGAGAGATGACTGTTGCTTAGTTATGGGCCCCTCTGAACTAATTCCCAACAATCAGTGTTCTTGGGAGCTCATTTTTAAACTCTTAAGTATTTTTCTACTTGATGTGCTGCAAATTTCAAGCGTTAAAATCCAAACAGGACTGAGCTCAGCAATCAGTATACACAAACAAGCAAGATGTTTGTAAATAAAGTGAGAGATTTTGTCATATTACTGTTCATAAAGTGAAAAAGTACAAACCTTTATAGATTTCACCAGGTTGGCAGTGGTGTTGGCCACTTCTTTGGCTGACTGGACAAACTGTCTCTTGGCAACAGGGTTAGGTGTTTTGGAAGAGGCCAGGCGGCAGGCATTGCACAGAGCTGAAGTGTGTTTGGCAACAATGGTCGCTGCAGAAAGCACCTGAGCAGAGAGTAAGTGAGCAATTCATCACATGAAGGATCACTCAAAAAGAAACCAAAACCAGCTTAAGCAATGTGTTAACCACAAACCTGAGACTGGGTGCAGGCTGGATCCACCAGGTTCTGGCAGGCCATCTGGATAGCCTGGTTAGCCCGTGCAAACTGAGTGGGATCCACAAGACCTTTCTGACCGGCTACGCTGTTAGGGTCTGACACTCCCACCAAATAAGCTGCCTAGACACACCAGCAGGTGATTGGTCACAACTCTCAACGGTAATAAACAGATAGTATTTATTTATTTTTGGTTCTAGCGGCCTTTATTTGATAGTTAATTGACAGGAAATGAGAGAAGGGGCAAGACATGCAGCAAAGGTCGCCAAAGCCTGGAATCGAACCTGCGACAGCTGCGTCGAGGACTAAGGCCTCCATATGTGGGCCATGCTCAACACTTGCGCCACCACAGCACACCCATAAACAAATAGTATTATACAGAAAGCATGTTACCTGTGCAGCTGCTTCAGTGAGACCACACAATGCTTTGGATCCAGCACTGACTGAGTCTCCAAACTCAGGCAGGTTAGAATTCTTGGCATTGTGTGAAATGCCTGCCATGGACTCACCAAGAACCTGTCCAGAACAAACAGTCAATCAGCCGTGCCACCTAGAGAGCTTTCGTGTTTTTACTACTAGTGTTTCAGTGACAGTACAGTGCATCATTTTAAGGCTATGGCTTATTTTCAACCTCAACAATTTAGTCTGTAAGAGAAACCTTGAAGAAAGAAAATTAAATAGGGTAAGAAAAGCAGCCGAGTGTGTGATGTACCTTAGAATTCTCCATGACGCTGTCAATGCACTCAAAGAACGACTGCTCATTCACTGCCTCTGTGGGGTTCTCCAGCATCCCTTTCACTGACTGCACACAGAGACCAAACTATTGCAAACTATGTTTCTATTACTATTGATGGCACACCAAGTCTAATGGACTGGAAATCGGTATCAAAGTTTTAAAAAATGACTGCTTCAGGACATCGCTATATTAAACCAAATATAGAGACCAAATTATACATACATACATACATGCATATATATATATATATATATATATATATATATATATATATATATAT